ATCCTCAGGTGGTGTAGATTCAATTTGTTCAAATCATGACCCCCAGGGGTAGGGTGGGGCCAAAATGGACGATCAATGTTTAACATAGGTGTACATAGGAAAAATCTTCTTCTCAAGAACAGCAAAGCTATGATTGGTCATATTTATTTGGAAGCATCCTCAGGTGGTGTAGATTCAAGTTTGTACAAATCATGACCCCCAGGAGTAGGGTGGGGCCACAATGGACAATCAAAGTTTTACATAGGGATATGTAGGAAAAATCTTCTTCTCAAGAACAGCAAAGCTATGATTGGTCATATTTATATGAAAGCATCCTCAGGTGGTGTAGATTCAAGTTTGTTCAAATCATGACCCCCAGGGGTAGGGTGGGGCCAAAATGGACGATCAATGTTTAACATAGGTGTACATAGGAAAAGTCTTCAAAAATCATCTTCTCAAGAACAGCAAAGCTATGATTGGTCATATTTATTTGGAAGCATCTATATTTATACGGAAGCATCCTCAGATAGTGTAGATTCAAGTTTGTTCAAATCATGACCCCCCCCCCCCAATTCCCTTTTTAGGGGTAGGTTGGGACCACTTATGCATTTAAGCTTTTCAATACTTAACTGATTTTTCCTTTTTTCCTAGCCACAGTGCTCAGGTGAGCAATGTGGCCCTTGGGCCTCTTGTTTACATTAGGTTTTTTCGGTCTGACAACATTTGGTTTGGTCCTGTGTGTTCACTGATTACACAGGACCGAATGTCCTGTGTGGTCCAAAAAACTTTCGCATAGACTGTTATTAATGACTAAAAAAAAATAATTTGGCTTTAAACTTAGAAACTCTTGATTTCTTAAAATGTGGTATTTAATTAGAAATAAAATTTCAACTGCATTGTATCTTAATTTAAGGGAGCAGTATGGGAGAGTTATGTAGTGATTATTTTTTGATGTTGTAGGGGTAGGCAATGTGGATTTTCCATGATGTCCTCTTATGATGAGCTGTTAAAACAAGTGGAGAGTCTGAAGGCAGAGAACTCTCACCTGAGACAGGAACTGAACGAGTCAACCAGTTACCCTGAGTCTGCCGCCTCCGTTGACGTGTTTGTGGGGCTGGACGGGGATTCTGATATTGATGTGATCTATGACGGAGAGGACGGGATACATGTGTTTCAGCAAGGAGGAGGAGGGGAGGCCCGCGACCACATAGAAGAAGGTGGGAGGACTGCTTGTGTTATAATGAAAGGATTTCTTAAGTAAACATATATCATCTTTTACTTTCATTTTTCAATCCCGATGAAAAATGAAATAATCATGAAAGATTTGTTTTAGAAAACTCTGCTTGTATTATTTAACTATAATAATTTACCAATTGTGAGACATTTATTTACACTATTATAGTATTTTGAAAATCTTGCCGCTACTTGATTATCTCATAAAGGCTAAAATCTACCCAGAGTTATCCTTCCTGCTAGGTCAGGGGTGTAGAATTACACTTTCCAGTTGCCCGGGGCAAGTGAAATGTCATCTCAGGAAAGATAGTTTTCAAGATAAAATAACTGAATGGGAAAGTAATCAATTTCAGACTCAGTCTGCAAAGGATGGTTTTCCATCGAGGTGATTTAAGCAAGAGTTATTTCCCCATGGCTGCCATATTGTAGGTCAACATCCCCAGAACCCTTCATAATTCAACCAAATTCAATTTGTTATACTGGGCACTGAGGTGAAGATAACACTGTTATTCTTATTTGTTAAAGCCTCTTTTAATTCATAATTTCAGTATTGTAAATATTTTTTCCCATATATTTCTGGCATGCATGTTTAAAATTGGTTTTTCAAAGAGGAAAATTCACTATTTTGACCTACAAGATGGCAGCCAAGGGGAATAACTCTGAGCCAAAATATGTCATAGGAAAACTATCTATACTAAGGTCAAGTCTAGTGAAGTTGAGGTCAGGTTTAGTAAAAGGATGATGTGACATAACTGCTATCTGGGGCACCTTTTTCTACGACGAATTATATTTAATCTACAACGATTTTGATAGTTTTCAAACATGAGTGAATAAATACAACGCCTTTTGAATAGTTTAAATAGTTCCGACACATTTTTAAATATAAGGATTACTACATTATCTATGATTTTTTAGACCCTATGACAGCAAAATACGGCCTGGTTTGTGACAATATGTTCTTTTATGAAAAGAGAATAGGCGGGTCTTAGTACAATAAAGGGATATGCATGTCCGAGGAATCTACCTTATATGGCTATTGTTATTATTTCGCACATAGTCGCTTACTGAGAACAATTGTCCAATCCGATGACAGAACGACAAAACATGCTGACTTACTACATGTTTACATTTTATCACAGGCACGTGGTTTAGGTCAATTTACACAATATCTCTACTACATTTCAAACTTTTAATGGTCAGCCAAGACTAGTTATACAACGCATGGAACCTCAGTGTTTACCGTTTTGGTCAAGAAATGCACATGAAACTTCTATTCACTGATTCTCGGGAATACGTATAGACCTAGCGAATTGCCCACCAAACGCTTTACAAACTTTGAACTATGTATACTTATAAATCAATTGTTTGTTAATGTGAGCTGGGAAATTCTAGATCCGTGTCTATTTTGTGACTCAAATGCATAAAAAAATGTTTATCGGAAAGCAGGTAAAAAAACAACATTTTTTCCAACCATGAAATATCCTTAGTATTTTTGTGGTACTCACTAGTAATGCAACTCATTTAGCTGATTGGTCAGTTAGAAAGTATCGCCAGTGCCTCGATTTGCATATGAATTTATTCTTACGTCAGAAAAAATAGTTTCGTCGATCCGGTCAATGGGAAAGGCCAGCTAGATTTTACAATTTTTTAAAAACAACATGTGAGCGCAGTTAGGTACATTTTTCTCCTTTTACATATAGGTAGATTTCAATAAAATACAGTGACCAGCCAAAGGAGAAAAATGTACCTACTTGCGCTCGTATATTTTAAGGGCTTCAAAGACTGGGGCGGGGCCAAAATTCAATGGGAATTGGATGTAAACATGGTACCCCTACTCAAAATAAAGACATATATCTTCCAAATTATGTTTCTATTTTTGGTTTAAGTAGTATTTTATGAGGGTAGACATGTCAGTGATTAAGTGCATACAAAAATTAGAGTAAAATTTATATATTTAATTTTTTGTCAATTTACCCGGGGGGCCGTATGTCACATCATCCTTTGCAGATACTTGTCCAACTTGTCTAGTTTATTGTCAATCGGGTTGATATTCTTTTATATTGGACACTCAGGTTGAAAAGGTTTTCATCAATGTTAGCTAATCAATGTCATTAATTTCATCAATCAAGTTTGGAATTTTGGATAATATCTCACCATTTCAATTATGATTTTTTATTTTTGACAATTTGCATCTTTATAGGTTGCAAGAATTTTAATTTTCATTGACATTTGTTATGCAATTGGATATATATAAAAAAAATATATGACTATATGTGTTTAAGATTTAGATTAATTTGTAGGATTGTATAATTTCTCAGTCGTTAGGTAAATACTGTATGTGTACTAATTATAGCGGGCTTCATATTTTAGCGGTTTTGGCGCAGAAAACGATGCATTAATTCATGAATACTGCTAAGAATTTGATGAGCTACATCTTAAATGGGTTTATAAATGAAAGATTTTAACTCTTTTTTTTCAACTTGAAAACTTGGTTTATGGTTTAAGTTTTGATCCTTTTTTTGCCATTACAAGGTTTGTGAACATTTTTAAACTGCTGAAAAATAAAAATACAATATTTTTAATGTTCTCATTGCTTAGAAAAGGAATTCATCTGTGTATGTGATGTTAATTCTTTACTCTTGAACTAAAATGTAACCTGATGTGAAAGGCATTTCAGCATATTTGTAGCAATCCATATTTTTAGCTCTACTGGTCCGAGACCAGAAGAGCTTATGCGATAGTAAGGTGTCCGTCGTCCGTCCGTCTGTCTGTTCGTCCGTCTGTAAACAATTTTTCAAAATGCTACTCCTCCTACAGTTTTGGTCTGATTTCAATATTACTTGGCACACAAGTAGACTATACTAAGATGCATAATTCTGTGTATCGGTTTTTGATTTCAATGAACAGTGTTGCCATGGTTACTAAAAATAGAAATTTCTGTGAAATACTTTCAAAATGCTACTCCTCCTACAGTTTTTATCTGATTTCGATATAACTTGGCACACAAGTAGACTATAATAAGATACATAATTCTCTGTACCAGTTTTGGATTTTTATGAACAGTGTTGCCATGGTTACTAAAAATAGAAATTTTCTTGAAATACTTTCAAAATTCTACTCCTCCTACACTTTTTTGTCTGATTTCAGTATAATGTGGCATACAAGTAGACTACAGAGATACATAATTGGTGTTATTGTTTTTTGATTTTGTTGAATGATGTTGCCATGGTTACTTAAATCAAAATTTCTGTAAAATTGTTTTGAAAGGCTACTCCTCCTACAGTTTTACTCTGATATAATAATAAATCTTGCCACAAAAGAGACTAAACCAAGGATCATTATTCTATTTATTGCTGTTGCAAAGTTTCAAGTCCAAGTGCTACTTTTATTTACATATACTCTGTGCTGATTTTACAAGAACATGAAATTATGAATGAAGTTTCCTACCAAAATAAATGACATGTATTGGAAGGTTAGCAAGCTAGACATGGTGTCTGATGTGTGTTATGTAATAAGGCTTCTTTAGCTGGATGCAGCTGTTTGCAGTGTGTGTGCAGTGACTGTATCTAGGGGTATTGTGAAATGTCTGTGAGTTGGTGTGTATAGGACTGAGCTACACAGGATCAATATATGACTCAGACTCCAGCATTGCAGTGACAAAGTGTGTAATATTGAAAAAAGAGAGGAGTTGAACACACTCTGTTGATGTCAAGAAATATTGGAAAAATTATTTATTTTAAAGAGGACAAAAGTTGTATTGTCTATTAAGTGATTAGCACCTGGATCAGGAAGCCTTACTAATTAGTGATTACGCTGTAGTATCAAAGAGAGGCAGTCGGGAGAAATCTGATATTCCAGACAATTTTGTTTTCTCCTGAATTCCAGTGCAGCATTTTCTTTTTTTTGTGAGAATGCTGGTGAATGTGTTGTACAGGATTTCCTATCTATAAATCAAAGGAGTTTATGGGAATGGCAGGTGAAAAGCTCACTACAGCTGTGCTTAATTTGGAGGAAGTAATTGGGGGGTTACAGTGATATGTCGGAGGATCACTTATACCTGAGCCCCGAGGATTTAGAGGAGGGGGACTTGGTGATAGGGGAGGATTCATCATCCAGTCATGACTCCTCCAGCCAGACAAGTGATGATGGCGAGGACTTAAATGATGATGTTAATGAGGAGGATGCAGAAGATGATAGCGATGAAGGTAGAAAATGTGGTAATCAGAAGAAAGGTTATGTGTAGTTACTTCATATTCAGTCTGTAACTCAGTCAACTAATGTCAGAATTTTTTATTGCCTATTTTGTCTGTTAAAGATTAGTAGAGATCTGAGAAATCCACAGATTTGTATGGCTCAGTTGTTAAGATTGAACCCAGAATTTTCATCATAGTTCATTTAATGATCTGTTCTCAGTATACAAGTGTGTAAATGTTTTATACTTGGTATAGGTTTTACAATATTGTGTCAAAGTTAACTGAGATTTTCAGATCCCAGGAGAATTGAATTATTGATCAGAATCATACCAGTAAAATTCAATGATCTGATGTAGACAGTGTAATGATAAAGGTCCTAGAGAAGGAGAGAAGCAGACACTGGGAGTAATTAGATGATGATTAGCTCTTGTTGTTCTGTGGTAATGTAAACTGTTCTGTGGAGCTGTGAACAATGAGAGTATGTGTAGTATACAAGTCTGGGGGATTGAATGTCTGGACAGTAGCACCAACTTTGCCAGATCATAAACAGGCAATATTGTCCAACAGAAACAGACTGTGGGATGCCGAACAACTCTTTAGAGTTATATTACATTTAATGGCTATATGTATCGATTGAATCATTACCTTAATTTCTGTAATTTTTTTTTTTATTATTCTAAATAAATGACTCATAAAATTTCAATGTTTAAAAAATTATCCGTACAGTATTTGTGTAAGAGATTAAAGAAAATTACAATTCATTAATGGAGAAGAAAATACAGTCAAACCTACTTATCTCAAACTTATTCAAGGGTTCTCTCCTTATCTCAAAGATATTCAAGGGTTCAAGATATTGAGGGTATAATACTTAAGAAGTATGTGGTTAGGGCTTCCCAATCACTTCGACATATCCATGGTATTCGAGATATCCGTTTTCGAGATACCAAAGTCAACTGTATTTTTGATATGTCTCCATTGGTTATGATGGATATGTTTGTTAAACACAGAATTAATCTGATTTGCAGAAGAAGACATTTCACCAAATGACATAGGTCCACATAAATCCTTTAACATACCAATCACAGGCAGTCCACAGAATGGGCATCAAACAAACAAACAGAGCAGTTCAGATGTTCTTAGTAAGCTACAGGAACTCTACACTGAAAGGTCAGCTTTCTCAACAATCATCACTAAAAACCTATTTCAACATTGATCTTCTACAACTTCCAGTAAGGAAGCATGCCATACCAAAATTTTTGCATATTCTCGGGGGGAAAATGCTGTAAATTAGTTAAGAGCTTAATAGATGGGTCTTTGAATGCTGTCATGTGTGTCAAAAGATAATTTTAAACATCCATTAAATAAATTTTTGATGTGGCATGCCCTAAGTCAGATGTCAAACAAATTGATGATGAATATAAATATTTTTGAATGCTTATCTCCTCTGACTTGCAGTACAAAAAGTGATGGTAATGAACATTTCAATTTTTTTCAGATTGTATTACTTTAATTCTCAAATTTTCATTTCAATTCCTATATGTTTTATAAAGTCGAATCAAACAATCGAAGCATTCAAAGCTTAAATTTTGTTTTTGAATGTTTCAAATAATGGAGCTCAAATTGATACAGAAACTTGAATTCAAAGTTCAAAAATATGGCATAGAAACACTTCTCCATGATGTAATGATTGGAGTTGATGAGTTCTTGTGGTGTTGTATAATCACACTTGGGTTTTCAACTCGGATCTATAGATTTTATGAATTAAAAAGTTTTTATGTAATTTTAAAGGAAAATAACTATGGAATGAAGAATAGAATAATTGTTATGTTTATAAAAACAAACATTAGCTTTGAGAAGCTATTTGTTGACTAAGAATAATACAATATATAATATGTAACAATAATATAATCATGTTATAACCATATATGTCATACATATATTGGTACGTGTTTATAAGCTAAATTAATGTTGACAAATTTCTGTAGATCTGCTATATTAACCTACATTGAGGAGGAAGATAGGCAGAGAAAATGGTACATCTCCCAGTTAGACAATGTACGACAGAGGCTGGAGAAGGTCCCCCTCACAGATGGGGTATGTCCTGGTTAATAGGGTTGTACCCAAATTAAAGAAGATTTCCAAACATTTTGGGGGAAGATCAAAAGATCAATATCGAATTAAAAAACTGAATTTGAATACTGTGGAATCATTTTAATTCGTGGGGGTCAATGTTCGTGGGCAAGCAAAATTTTGCTTGTTCATGGGGACGTAATTTCGTGGGTAACTTGTTTATACGGTGGTTCAATGAATCAATGTGTTTACAAAATAAACGTTCATGGGGATGTAAATTCGTGGGCAAGGGTGACCCATGAAATCCACGAACATTGGTCCCCCACGAACAATGATGATTCCACAGTAGTTAAGGGGTGAGGGTAAAAAGCCCCAAAAGTCTGTGTTGTCCCACATTGATAATTACACTATGAAATGCATATTGTAAAGTGAAAATTTATGTTATTCATATTTGAAATGTTTTTTTTTAATAAACAAAACAAATATAAGTTGAACTTTTTTACAGTGTTATAAATACTTAGTAATCAAAATTGAATCAACATTCATCCCATTTTTTTTGGTTTTGGGGGTGGTTCTTTATAAAAACTACATGTATTTTTTTTAATGATTTTTTGGTCTTTAGAAAATTTTAATAAAAGCTAACAAGTTTAAAAATTTTCATTAATATCATACATGTTTTTATGCCCTGCCATGAATATGGACAGGATACAGGGCTCTCGATTCTCTATAATTGGGGCCGTTGAATGGCCCCATTCTCAATGCAAAAAGGTACTTTTTTCCCAAAAGAAAGGTGTAAACTTCCCAATTTTTTATAGCAAAATATATTTTTTTTAAGAATCAAAATCGATGAAACTTATTGCCAAAAAACAAACACTTACAAGTGAAAGTGAAACAAACTAGTTCTATGTACGACTGTATTAATTAGTTTACGCCATATATATATTCGTAAACCACCAGTCAGTCAGTCTCACGCTGAATCTGAAAACCACGATGATCAAAGAAAATCGGGAGGATGTGACTAGTGACTGTCACTCAGAAAGACAAATAACTGCAATTTCAACACTCAAAGTTAGAAATGAGCAAAGCCAATGTACTTCCATATGTAGCCTACCCATGTTTGTTCTGGTTAAAAGTTTATTTAAAACCAGAATTAAATTGATGACAAAATGCTAGAAAAGCAAAATTTGAGGGTTTTTTTATGAATGTTGGTTTTCCCAAAATGAAGGTAATTTTCCCAATTTGAACAGCCCTGGTCCCTGTCCCAAAAAGTGGTGTGAGAACCCTGGGGTATATCGTGTTTGTGATGTCCATCTTCTGTCCTTTCTTTGACTTTGGCCCCCTTTTTCTTAAATTTCCATTTATCTCAGTTTCAAAGAAACTATTCAAGATATTTTTATGTAGGCATATGCAATGATACATAATTTGGGGAGAATTCATCAAGTTGTCCATTTTGTTTTTTTACCTTGACCTTCCCAATGACCTTTGACTTTACTATTTATTGTGTATAAACTCAGTTTTAAAGAAACTTTTTTAGAATTTTCATCAAACTTCATACACTTGCTCAAATTATCATGTTTCATTGCTTATGAACCCTAGGCTGGACATTCATGTCCTATGGACATATTTCTAGCTTTTATAACATTTAAGGAATGAAGCTCATTTTAACCTATGTTATATGATAGACCATAACTTGGGGCAGTTTACTTTATAAACCGCGAAGCGGTTTATAAAAAAACGTAAACTGCCCCAAGTTATGTTATATCCAGACCTGTTTACTCTTACGATTTCGCTGTATTTTGTACGGATTTTCAGTCCAAAATACGTCTCACGTTTTGCTATAACGAAAATACGGAAATCCCTTCATATGGATTTTAGCAATTAGTTTTCGTTATCTGTCTCAGTTTGACGCTTTTTAATCGCTAAAAAAGATAAAAATTTCAAACATTTAAGTTGCCAAAACGCGGTGGTTTAAAGAAATGATAGAAATCACTCAAAAGAAAGCAGGGTATGATGTTTTGCTTTGTTATTAAACCATGTTTTGGTAATCAGAAATGTAGTTGTTTTCTAGTAATATATGTACAGTCGATGAAAAGTGAAATCTTACGGGCAAATGCCAAATCTCACTGACAAATCTAATAAAAAAATACTGAGAGACAACAATTTGGGTAAACAGGTCTGTATATCGTATAACATAGGTTAAAATAAGCTTCATTCCTTATAATTTAATTTCAGTGTAGACAATAAGACAATTTTTCCTCCAAAAATGGCTTCAAATTGAGCATATTTTGGAAGTAAAGTCAAGCGGAGTAATATGTTTTTGACGTAACTCATTGTGACGTAGGCAACTTATATGATATAAACGAAATCTTTTATCCAATCAAATGACGTGTTGCAACTAAAATTAAATTATTAGGTTTTGTGAAAAAGAGACTGGTGTAGTTGTATTTTATGTTGTTTTGACTTTGACATGAGGATTTTACTGCCCCCTTTGTAAAATAATGTTACATATAGAGAATACATACCCTTTCCCATATCATACCCTGTATAAGCCGAGACATCAATATCAGCATGAGGGCCGGAGGCCTGAAAGTTGACATTTGGTCAAGGGTTGATACAGAGTGTGATATGAAAAGGGTATGTTTTATTATATGCATTACATACTTACAAATACTATGAATAATTTATGTTCAGTATGATTTTATTTGTAAACCATTTCTTACAACACTTATTACGACAAATTTGATCAAAAAAGGAAAAATTAGCACTTCAGTTTTTCCCATTAAAAGTAAAGGTAAGCAGGGTTACAGATTGAAATAAGTAAATAAGGAATAAATAGGACAGCTAGCATATGTACCAGAAAAGTAATAGGCAATTCTGTCTTAAACCTTCCCAAGTTATAGGCTAATTTTGACAATACATGTATTCACTTCTTCAACCTGATAATTATATTTGAAATCAGGTGAATGCAAATAAAAGTGATAATTATAAATAGAGTATTGAAGAAGTGTAACTCAATCATGCAATTTATTTTATTCCTGAGATCTTTTTTTTTCAAATTTAGTCATATTTTTCTCTTGGATTCTCAATAAGTCATCTAGCCAGTTAATTGCCATCATGCCCATTGTCTCAAGCCATGGTCTGAAGTACACATATAGCTCTATCCTACCTATGGCAAGAATGGGAGAGGATTGTACATTTTGCCAAAAGTTGAATGCCAGTAGAACGAATATATTATTAGGGCCCCGCAAGAATTTACGGGTGCCCTATAGTAATCTGTCTGACCGTCCATCTGTCTGTCTGTCCGTCTGTCATTCTTCCGTCCACAAATTTTCTGTTTTTTTTTTCTAATAACTTTTTTTGTAGTTGACCAATTAAGTTCAAATTTGGTATGTTGGTTGAAGAGGCAGTAAGACATATTTTGATGCTAAGTTTGGTTCTCTGTGTCATCCAGTTTGGAGCTGGGGTGGTGGGGTAGATTCCTTAACTTTACATTAGAATGAATGCCAGGGCAAAGAGAGATAACTGCTGAGAATGTTCCTATTGTAAACTATGAAAGCTGCGACTAGTCCCATGGGATTATTTAACTTTCCTCTTGAAGAAAATCCAAAGCATTATCTGTTTCTGTCAAATTGAGATTAATTAACACCTCTGTCTGCATATGAAGTTTGTTTTGAAGTTAAGGTCAATTCTGAATGATGTTTACATTCTCTGAAATGTGGATTTAAAAAATGTTCATACTTTATTTTGGTAAAATATACAAGAGTTATGATTTTACATAAATGTACATGAGTTATTATTTTACATAAAAACAAGATATACATAAAGATATGTTTTTTTTTTTTTTTTTTTTTTTATTTATTTTATTTATTTATTTACTTTTTTTTTTGGCTGCCATATGTAAATTCAAGAATACTATTAATTTTAACAGGTAGTCCAATAATAAACTCATTCTATCATTACTGAAAGAGTTCTTATTGTAAACTTGGAAGAAAAGGATGAGAGAGCAGTACAATTAATCCCTTGGGATTAATTATCTTGTCTGGGGCAGAAAATTTTCCAGGCTTATCTTTATTTGTCACTTTGAGATAAATTAACCTTTGTCTGCAACTGATGTTTGTTTTGAAGTTAAGGTCAAGCCTGGGTGTATTCACTGAAGGCTGGCATTTTATAAAACACATGCTTTATTCTTGTTTAAATACACATTTAATTGAGTTATTATAGATATGATGTTTTTACTGCCTTATGTAAATACAGGGATACTCTTTACAGGTTGTTGGATATTTAGGAATTATCTTGAAATTTTATTAATACAGTTGTTATTGCATATTCTTCTTCATATATTTTTAAATTTTTGGAATCACTTAAAATTCTCATTCTGTAAGCTATACCCTTATATTTCTACCCCTCGGCGGGGCCCTTGCTGACTGGTCAGTTTTCTAGTTTTGCTATAGTAAATTTTCCTTTATATGCCCCCCCCCCAACTTTTGTTGCAGGTAGGTCGTGCAGAGGCAAATTCCAGGATTTGAATGGTTAATTACCTTCTTTTTTCTTTTTATGCCCCAGGAAAAGATCCCGGGGGTATATTGTTTTTGTCCTGTCTGTCTGTCTGTTGTCAACTTTAACTTTGCCCATAACTTTTGATTGGTTGAAGCTATGAATTTCATATTTCACATGTGTATTCCTTGTGACAAGACCTTTCTTTGGGTACCATAAAATTTGACCTTTTGACCTTGACCTTGGAGTTTGACCCACTTTTGCAAAATTTTATGAAACTTTAAACTTGGCCATAACTTCTGAACAGTTGGTGCTTGCAGTTTCAAACTTCACATGTGTATTCTTTGTCACAAGGCCTTCCTTTGAATACCAACAACTTTGACCTTTTGACCTTGACCTTGGAGTTTGACCTACTTTTGAAAAACTTTAACCTTGGCCATAACTTTTGAATGGTTGGTGCTTGCAGTTTCAAACTTCACATGTGTATTCCTTGTGACAAGACCTTCCTCTGGATATCAACCTCTCTGACCCTTAGACCTTGACCTAGGAGTTTGACCTACTTTTGAAAAAAATTTAACCCTGGCCATAACTTTTGAATGGTTGGAGCTAGGGCTTTCATACTTCACATATGTAATCCTTGTGACAAGACCTTTTTTTAGATACCAACCTCTTTGACCTTTTGACCTTGACCTAGGAGTTTGACCTACTTTTGAAAAAATTATCCTTGGCCATAACTTTTGAATGGTTGATGCTAGGGCTTTCATACTTCACATATGTAATCCTTGTGACATCACCTTCCTTTGGGTACCAACCACTTTGACCCTATGACCTTGACATAAGAGTTTGACCTACTTTTGAAAAACTTTAACCTTGCCCATAACTTTTGAATGGTTGGTGCAAGGGCTTTCATACTTCACATATATAATCCTTGTGACAAGACCTTCGTTTGGATACCAACCAGTTTGACCCTTTGACCTTGACTTAGGAGTTTGATCTACTTTTGAAAAACTTAAACCTTGGCCATAACTTTTGAATGGTTCAGAGCTCCAGATAATTTTTTACCCCAAAGTGTATTTATTCCCTGATTTTTAAATCAATGCAGATTTCACTTTTCAGCAAAATAATCAAAGAGTATTTTGTTAATCTATTGCTCTTTTGACATCTAATGTAATTTTGATCTTGTTATCAAAATAAGTGTTTTTGAAAGATGAATGTCAAAAAAGGACAGTTTCGAATAGTATACGCTTACAAATCAAAATTTCGTTTTTAACACTGTGCTGACCTCCAGCTCCATTCACATAATTAGTTGCATCGCACTTGTATCATTCAATCCATCGTACGCAGTACTTTCGTAGTGTAAAGCTTATTTATGATTGCTAATGCGTAATTGTATGCCCTGTTTTAATTTTTAATGCTTATTTTGAAAAATTCAATGCATATTTCTGCAAAAACACACCTTATCTGGAGCTCTGATGGTTGGTGCAAGGGCTTTCATACTTCACATATGTAATCCTTGTGACAAGACCTTCCTTTGGATATCAACAACTTTGAACTTGACGTTTTACTTACTTTTAAAAAACTTTTACCTTTGCCATAATTTTTGAACAGTTGCAGCTAGGGCTATCAAATTTCACAGGTATATTGCTCGAGACAAGACCTTTCTTTGGGTACCAACATTTTTTATCTTTTGGCCTGGATTTTGACTTGCATTTGAGAAACTTTAACCTTCGCCATAAGCTGCCATACGGGGGCATCAGTGTTTCACAAACACATCTTGTTTGTCATTCTTTTTTTGGGAAGTGATATGACTAGCCTTTAATGTCTGCTCAATGTTAAACTTACAGACCATTTAGGCTGTTCAATTTAACTTTCTTTGGCCATTTTGAATTTTTACTGGCAAATGGACAATAGCTGATGGCAATCTGAAATCCTCCTACAGTCCCTGAAACGTTCTACTTTCCCACTTGAACGGTGAGCGAATGGTGAACGAACGGTGAACGAACGCTGAACGAACGCAGAGCGAACGGTGAGTGAACGATGTGTGAACGCTGAACGCAACTTGGTGAACGATGTGTGAACGCTGAACGGTGAGCGAACGCAGAACGCGAACGGAGCGCAAACGCGAGCGCAAAGTGAACGGTGAACGAACGGTGCCTCTGATCTTTTCCTTGCATTGCAACTATTCTATTGTATTCTAATACCTTGTGCTAAAAAAATAAATAAATAATAAATAAATAAACGAATCAATGAAAATTGTCCAAAAAGACGATACATGCACATTAAGTAAAATTAATTTAAGTTTCTTACAATATTTTCTGCACATATGTACGATGTTTAAATTCAACTTTTTAATAACATGATTTAATAACACGATTTTTATCGCTGTAAAACATTGTGATTGTTACCGAACGCTGTAGCATAACAGATGAAATTAATCTAGTTGTAAAATAAAAAATAATGTTTATTCTTATTTGATATATAAAATGATTACAAATAATGTGGATTTTAGAAGAGAAAACTACGGACTTATAGAATGAATTGCAACGGTTGTAACAACCATACAAGGAGATTCCGTTTAACATAATAAGATAAAAAAAAATTTACAAAGGTATGTGGACCTATTACATAAATACACTCATATTTTAAAATTTTAATGCAATAATATATTTATGTGTCGTCTTATTTTTTATGATGATTTATTGAGCAGACTTCTACATGTATCTGTAGACATGTCCCGGCCGTGATTATACTAGGACAAGATGATACAAAGAGGCAATTAATCATATTATTTGTTTTATATTAAATTTTCATAACTTGATATTTAAGTAATATGCTGTCATAGTTTTTATTAAACAGACAAATGAGAGAGAGAGAGAGAGAAAGAGAGAGAGAGAGATTCGGTTTTAGCCCCCCCCACCCCTTCCTCAAATGTTTGTACCTATATCAAACAAAAATTCTAATTTTTTTTTAATAAATATATCAGGCAGTGAAAGTAACCATTTTTAAATCAACAAATCCATTTGTTTTACAGTCATAATCAGTTTTTATTGTCCTGCTTCAAGTTCACACGAAGTCCACGTGCTTGACCTGTCAATCAAAATCATTCGACACTGTGCAGGTGTGAAAGTCTCGTCACATCGAAGGCAAAGTGTTAGTATTTTCAAGAAGTTTTAACATTTTTTCTTATCATTTCTAGATCTGATTCCAACATTTCTATTAAAAATAAATGAATAAATTACACTGGGAATAAACACTTGGAATGATTAAGCCGCTTGAATTTGAAACATACTCCCTGCCAATTTAAAATATCACTGCCGGCACATGTATTTTGAACTACTGTTGTCTAATTACTCTGTTTAGATGCATGTTTGTTTTGAGACTGAAATTTTTGTGCTACAAAACACATTAACTTCTTTTTAAATGTTAATTAAAATGTACTTGAAATACTAACTAAGTAACCGATTTAGGGGAAAAGGGGGGGGGGGGGGCTCTTAATAATATCGAATGACAAACATATAAAGTTACGGTGAAAAATATCATTACTGCAGAATCACCTTGGTTATATAAATGATAATCATGTTATAAAGGCGTTTCTCTCTATCTAATTAAAGACTTTATATATGTAAAGTAGAAAAAAATTTTTAATGTATTACATTTTAAACAAATATTTTTTTTAAACCACACTATCAATTTAATTCGCTCTAAAGATATTTAATTAACTGGATATCCGCAGTACTGTTTATCATTCTCAGAACAAGTTCTAACATGCATTTCTGTATTATTTGAAAAAAAAGATATGATAGAAATAAATACTTTCGTATTTTTGCTGCAGTTGGTAAATTGACTTCGATTATTATCTATCCATTAACGATTTGTCGTCTTTAACATAACAACAAAATGTTGCAGTGCTTGAAGTAGCAGTATTTTGCAAGTATTTAAATTTAATTTTTCAGCATTGTTCTACATAGGTACATACATGTACTTACAACAACATTTATTTTCCGGATAAATTTTATTAAAAAAAAAATAATTAATAATCTAACAGCTAAGTTAGAATAATAAAAATAAATATTGTAGATAATTTTTTTTCCATAAAATAATGATTCTTTAAACACGGTAGGTTATTTATTAAATTCAAAACCTGTAAATCCTTACTTAAAAAAAGATAAGTCCTTTCACTTCGGAGTTCCGAATGACACTGAAGACTGAATGATAAGTGAACGCTGAACGCAAGGTGAACGCAAAGTGAACGAACGAAGAGCGAACGGTGAACGCTTTGTGAACGGTGAACGCGAGCGCATGGTGAACGCTGAACGCAAAACTGTGAACGGAGAGCGAACGGTGAACGAACAGTGAACGAACGGTGAGCGAACGGAAAAATGGGAAAGTAGAACGTTTCAGGGACTGTACATCACAATTCAATGTATTTTATCACTTTTGATCGCAGTCAGAATGCTAAGTGTTGTAAGAAATGGTTTACAAATAAAATTACACTGTACCTTAATATACATGTATATCCATTTATATGATGTTTGATTGTTAGTTTAGTCTGCTGTAAGTATAATTTACTAAAGTGAAAAAAAGAAAAAGTTCCAAAGTTAATAGAGGGGTTCAGCAAGAGGTGCATTATGTCTCCATAATACATGGCTGAGGCATGCGTTACAGATACGTAATGCGAGGTACTGATACACCTACTCTGATGTCAGGCATACTGCATAAGCAAAGAAGACCTGTTTTTATTACTAAGTATGTAATAAATACATTCAATTAAAATTAAAGCACTGGCCAAATGTCAAATGTGTTACTTCCAATGAAAATCGCTTCTTAAATTCAGAGATTTGGTGTGATAACAAAGTTGTTAACAAATACATACTTGACAAAATATATAAGGGAAAAGTGGTATTCATTTGATAAGAAAAATTCTGTTCTTTAATGTGGGATATAAAAAGTACTGATGATGTTGTGTTATGATAATGATCATTTCTTTGATGACTCTCTACTTTGATTACAGTACCCCAAAGACAAAGAGTTGATGCGACGTAAAATAGAATACGAAGGTAAACAGATTCAGGAAATGTTTCTACAGAACCTCGGGACGGCGGAACAAATCTCCCAGAGACAGGAATTACGTCTGTCACGAATCAGCTCAATAGAAACAGAAATGTTGGAACTGCAGAAGACAAAGAAACTCAAGGTAAAGAATTAGGGCATCACATAGACTGACTGCTTGTATTATACAAATTTCCAGAGACCTCATATGGATTGTGCAGCATGTATTATGCAATTTTTTAGGGACCTCATACAGATTGTGCTTCTTGTGTTAAATGCTAGGAACCTCAGAGGGCTTGTGCTGCTAATCTTTTGAATTTATGATGCACCCAAATAGATTGCTGTGTTTATATATATCCAATGGGCTTCAGATAGGCTATTTGGCTATTCTACTAATATTTCTTTACAATTTGTAATGGACCTCAGATATAATTTGCTATTAATTTATCAGGATCTTAAGGTTACGATTCTAATATTGTGTTAAGGAGAATTAGACCCCTGTCTCCAATTTTACACATCAATGTATACACCATTGTGTCTACAATGTTACACTGCTTAGATGCAAAATAGTACAAGTGTTGTTCCCATATACGTGGGTTGTATTTTTGGGGGTGAATATAGCAGACTTTTCCCATGAACATGTCTTTAGTCAGTACATTTGTGTTGAGTGTTGTGCAGCTAAATACTGTTAAGATTTCACAAAGTTTCAATCTTTACAAGGATTTTTAACTGGGTTTTCCATGGGAAAAATCTAGTCATTGAAATTATGAAAATGCTGGGCAGGCGCAGAGCTGTGGAAAACTTTTTCAGATAGCCAGTCATTCAGACCAGCAAGAAGACAAAATAAGCCGGTCCAAAGTGATTTTTGCTGGTCCGAAATAGTACGTCGCAAAATTTTTAAAAAAGCATAACATTTATTTATTTCATTAATCTTCTATTTACTTAATAATAAAATAACATTCAGTCTCCATTTCCAAGTCCTCTTCCGTTTTCATTTTTATGACGTCGAGCTCTTGGAGCTCGAACGTCATCTAGCAAGCGCCCAGTTGAAATCGCGACCGGATATGTACGCGACCGAATGTGTCAGTCGATGTATCCGCAATAGAAAATAGCAATAGCTATAAACCATTTCTTTGAAGACGCTCAAAATGAATAATAGCTTGAAAATAAAATTGCATCAACTATATCTGCAATTAATTCTATTGCAAAACAACAATATTATGTTTTATTCTCACACAAGAAAAATGTGATGGTTGTTGCGGATGAATTTCTACAGAAAGGGTGCGTGGAATGACATGAATAACATTTCGGAACGATAACCGTGTAACACAAACAACACAACAGGAGGTAAAATAATTACAAAATTACATAAACACGAATACTACAAGACTAAAAAGATTGAATTTCTAAATCTTAGCTTTACTTATAAAATCTTCTAACCAATTCTATCCTAAAAGCCGATGATATTGACCAGTATTACTGCATTTCTCCATTTCCTCCATTTCCCAGTATACCGTATACCACGCCCGATCGTAACTCGATCGTAATTGTAACAGAACAGAGTCTTGGTTGTAGTTTAGATGCAATCACTAATACAACGCTTTGACATTGGCAATTAGAAAAAATATTATATAAATTCATGAAATCCTTCATAGTTCTTCAACTGACTGATAAGAATTTAGCATGAACATGTTCGACGGTGTCTGGTCAATTCGAACCCTGCTCCATTCGGACCATGACATAAGGCCCCAGACTGTAATTGTGATATTTTGTTTAAAACTATTTTTTTTATTATGTCTCCTGGGTCACTCACTTGACTTATTGCTATCTTCAAATTCAAAATGATCTTTTGAAATTGTTTTTCTTCTTCGACGTCATTGAAGCCTTTCAGGCTTTTGATTTTGCATTTATAACAATACTAGATTTCACCGTTTTTGGGCAGGTGACAATGCCAATTCAGCATAGTAAACGAATTTTTCTGAAACATTAATGCATTTGGGAATTATATAAACCTAGAAAACAAGTCTTAAAAATTTTGAAGAAATTCTGTGCATCAATAATAAAGATATCAACATGATTGATGAAAAAAACGAAATCCGGGACAGTCGGAAGTACTTAGTATAGATTTACCGCTTTCCCAAACTGTGTTTGAATTCTTTACATATTAAGCTTGCCTTTATCTGTTTCTTTATGTTTTCTGCCTAATTCTGCCCCAGTTGTAAATTTAATAGGTCACGAGACCATGCTGGTTTCGCTTTCATTTGCAGCCTCGATCTCGTATAAAGAAAAAGTATTACGCAATCATATGTAAGTATGATAATTAAGCTGGGAAGTGCGTCAATGGTAAATGGAAAAACAAAAAAACAGTTTTTCACAACTCTGCAGGCCAGAGCCTACTGAAAGGGTACATCTACAAATTTCAAGATGGGAACTATTTTTATTTTGCAGTTCAATTGTACATGTATCAGAGATGTGCATATTACTTGGGTTTTGATTTTTGATTATTTATGAGGAACTTAATCATTTTCAAGCAAAATATTCTAATAAGGTACATCGATTTTGTTGGAATGTAACCTCTTACAGTTTTCAGAAGAGAAAGTTTTTATATACCAGTACTGTTCACACAAAAGAAAACTTGTCTTGCTGTCACATTGAAACCCTTGTTATTTTATGATAGTAAAATGGAATTTGGTTTAACATTTATTTTTGCAGTAAGTGTTGCACATATGTGATTTTCTAATTTGTTAATCACTACAAATTGTTCATTTTATTTTCATTTATGTATGTGAGAACTGTCAAGGAACTGAAACTGTACTGTGATAATACACTCTGTATAATAGTGCATAAGATACCTCTCTGGTGACGGAGTTGCTAAGGCCAAAAAAAATATTCTTTTGTTTCTCAGGCACTGCTGCACAGGTTGAACACTGCCACATTGATCAATTTTATTGACATACTGAAAAGGGAAATAACTCAATTTTCTATTTTTCCAAGTTGAAAAAGAAAATTTTAGTTATTGCCCTTTCCATACATGCTAGAAAGAAATATCTATAGTTTAATGAATTAATTTTTTCATAAAAATGTTTGCAATAACATTGATTAAATCTGAGTACATATTATATCTAATATATGAGTACAGAAAAGAAAGAATCAGTTGATATCATCATTTTTTTGACTGATAAGGAATAAAAAAGAGATGCCTGCTTCACTACCATATAGATGACTTTCAATTCTAAAGAGTTATTTTCTCTTTGTTGGAGTAATGATAATTTTTCTCATTACATCTTTTTAAACTTACCTGTAAATGTTTTAAACTTTCAAATGCTTTCGAACAATTTTGTAACATTCTTGTATTACCATGGTATGGGGCATCAAAGAAAACTTAAAGTGACACTGTGACGGACAAACGGGAAAATTGACAACAGTAGAATTTTTGCATGACACATGCAAATTTTGTTCAGTTCTTGAAGATATTAGGTTTCAGAAAATTACAGGTTTCAGAACAAAAAAAAAATCTAATTTAATGGAGAAAAATAAAAGTAAAAAAAATCTTTGTATAACCCATCACAAAAATATTGCTTCACTTCTTCCTCTTTATTGTACGCATGCACTGAAAAGTTGAAGAATTTACCATGGTTTCAATTCCATAGATATAAATGTCGGATGACTGAGAATTTTGACACAATCTTCAAAAAAGATGATCAAAACTTATTCCTTACTTCTGCTTGCCCCAATTCAATGTTGTTCACAAGTTTAACGCTAAAAATAAAGGACTCGTGACCTTGACATTCTTGACATTGACGATAAAAACAAAGCAATAGGTACAGCATTTGTTTTTCCGGCACTTATATTTTACAGTTTTTTTTCTTGCTTTACAGTGCAGTTGAGTTGTCAAAACTTGGCTATATTCATATTTCACAGATATCTTTTGTTTTGTGATACAATTTTCTTAAAAGAAACACATTGTTTTGACTCATTATGCAACTTTAATGAACATATACATACAGATGTAATTTGATGTAAGATACTGCCCCCTAATGTTCGTAATAATATAAAGCGAAAACAGTGGGTTACACAAATTGACCCCAAATTGACCCCGCAGAGGGAAATAACTTTTGTAAATACGAAAGTTTTCAATCAAATTTTGAAATTTTTGGCGTGAGAAACTAAAGATATATATATTTTTGCCTTATCCTTGGCTGTTTAGTTATGAGTCCTGAATTAGGCAATGACTGTAGAGGATACTGATCTGGGATTTTACCATCAGCTTTAATGTAAGACCTGAATTCAGGGATTGACATTAACGGTTGTCTGATTGCCCTGGGCAAATAAATTCTCAGTTTAGGCAAGCGAAAATGTCAACGTTCTTGTCCGATTGGGCAAGAGAATTTTTTCTGATTATACCCGCACTTTCTAAAGAAAGTTCAGGTATATTGTTGTTACTCATGTCTGTCTGTCCGTCCGTCTGTCACACTCTTATTTCTCAAACTCCTCTTACATTTTACACAGTAGCCTAATCATCTTTTGGGAGATGGTTGGTGGTGTAATGTAGATGTGCAGTAAGATTTCGGAATTTTCATTTTCACCCTGGGGGTCAAATAGGGGTCGAAAAATGACGTTTTTTATGCAAAAAGCCTCTGGTTCCCTGAACTCCTCTTACATTTTACACAGTAGCCTAATCATCTTTGGGAGATGGTTGGTGGTGTCCTATAGATGTGCAGTAAGGTTTCAGAATTCTTATTTTCCCCCTGGGGGTCAAATGGGGGTCAAATTTTTTTAAAAAAAATATGTTTAAACATCCTGGTTCCCAGAACTTCCCTTATATTTTATGCACTAGCCTTAAATCATGATCATTTGGAAGATGATTGATTTTGTCCTGTGGATGTGTAAAATGGTTTTAAAATTTGCATTTCCATGTGGATAGCAAATAGGGGCAGGAAAAAAATGGCCCCTCCCTAACCCATGGGGTCATGATTTGTACAAACTTGAATCTACACTTCTTGGGAATGTTTCCATATTAATCATGTTTTTTTTTTTGTTCTTAAAAAGAAGAATTTTGAAGATTTTTTTTCCTTTTAAATCTCTATAAAACTTTGATCCCTTATTGTGGCCTGACCCTATCCTCGGAGGTCATGATTTGAAAAC